CGTCAACTACACCGACCACAATAGAGCCTGCCCAAAGGACTGCTTTCCCCTTATTAGAATAGACCGCCTGGTAGATGCGACATCGGGGCACAAGTTGCTGAGCTTCATGGACGCTTACTCCAGCTACAACCAGATTAGGATGGACTTAGCCAATTAGGATAAAACAAATTTTGTAACCGAACTGGGGCTTATTGCTATAAAGTGATGCCCTTCGAACTGAAAAACACTGGAGCAACCTTCCAACACCTTGTAAACAAAGTTTTTGAATCGTTGATTGGTAATAAAGTTGAATATTATGTTGATGGCATGGTTGTGAAGACCCAATTTTCAAATTCTTTAATTGATAATTTAAATTGTTTTTTTCAAATTCTAAGGAATTTTAACATGAAGCTCAACCCGAATAAATGTGTCTACGGGGTCACGTCGAGCAAATTCCTTGGCTTTATAGTGAACCAACGTGGCATCGAAGCCAACCCGGACAAGATAAAGGTCGTACTAGATATGAGACCACCCCAAAAAATAAAGGAAGTCCAAAGGTTAATTAGCCAGGTAGCCACTCTAAACCGGTTCATGTTGAAGTCGGCACGGTGGTGCCTACCCCTCTTTATGGCAATCAAAAAGAACAAAAAACTTTGAGTGGACCGAAGAGTGCTAGCTCGCTTTCGATGAGCTAAAGAAAGTACCTAAGTACCCCACTGGTTCTAACTCGACCTAAAGAAGGAGATGAACTGAAGCTATACCTCTCTACGAGTGACGAGGTGGTTAGCTCGATACTAATCAGAGAAGTAGACCCAGCCCAACAACTCGTCTGCTATGTAAATAAAGTGTTGTAGGTAGCCGAGACCAAATAGCCCGACATCGAGAAGTTGGCCTATGCACTAGTAATAGAAACTCGAAAACTGTGCCCATACTTCCAAGTCCACATGATCGTCGTCTTCACCAACAAACCCTTGAGGCATGTTCTACTAAAGCTCGAGGTGTCAAACAGGTTTAAGAAGTGGGTCATTGATTTGAGCGAGTACGACATCCGGTTCAAGCCACGCCCAACAATCAAAGCTCAAGTCTTGGCAGATTTCGTGGTAGAATGCATGTTCGGCACGCCGACCCTTGAGGTGGCTGAGCCAATTGGCACGTCGGAGGCATCAACCAGTGCGGCACCGGTTCTGGTCAGAGAAGGCCCGACTTGGGACGAGGAACCCTAGATCCTCCACATAGATGGAAGTCTAATCAGCGAGGAAGCGGTGCTGGACTCATACTGTACGGGCCGAGGGAAGTGAAGCTGGAGTATGCTCTCCGGTTCGGATTCGAGGCATCGAACAATGAAGCGGAGTACAAGGCACTGATAGCCGACCTAAACGTAATGAAGGAGATCGGCGCAAAACACATTATAGTATGCAACGACTCCCAATTGGTTGTGAACCAGGTGAATGGAGAGTATAAGGCTCGGGATCCTACAATGATGGCTTACCTGGCTAAAGTGAGGGAACTCCTATCAACCTTCCTTTCCTAGTTTATTCGACAAGTACTGAGGTCAGAGAACGCTGAGGCCGACGCATTGTCACCTTTGGCAAGCACAAGTGACAACACCATGAGAACAGTATGCATAGAAGACCTACCTCAGCCCAGCATTCTCGAGGGGGGGGGGGCAGAAGAGGTTGCTCCCGTCTTGCCAACAAAACCGAGCTGGGTTAACCCGCTTGTTGATTATTTGCTCCACGGGACCCTACCAACTGACCGTAACGCAACTCAAAGGGTAGAGCGTTAGTCAACTCGGTACATTATTATCGAGAGGTGACTGTACAGGAGATCCTTTACGCTCCCCTACCTACGTTGCTTACGGCCTTTAGAAGCAGACCGGGTACTCCACGCGATCCACGACTGTATTGGAGGTGCCCTGTGTGAGGAGCAGATCCGGTCTCCTATTTTACCGCTTTCTTTTTGGCCTTTGATTATTTTTCCATTTTCTTTTCCGAGTATAAGGAGGTAGGGACATCCTTCTGTTTAAGGAGTCGAAAGGCTCGATTGTTTCATTCCACTCTTGCATTCTTTCTAGCATGGATTTTTCAGTGGAACCCAAACTTTCGAAACGTGACAATCTAGTACCTGTTGTGAATGGACTGTCAGTTATGTGTATCACATGACATTATATGTGATTAAGACTTTTGAAAATATCAAAATTACCCTTTGAAATAAAACAAAATATTCATCATCTTCTTCCTAAAAAAAATAAAACGGAGCACAAGCTATCTGTCACAAACATCAAAAACCCTTCTTGCATACAATGATTGCCACTCCTCCAAACTCCTCTACCAAATACTTGGTGCACAAAAACCCGGCCAAAGAAACCTTTTGATAAATTATATAAACACTGCCATTTTTTAGTCTCCTGATTTCTTAACCTCCTCCCAACGCGCCTACCTTGGTTGCCAACCCTTCTCTTTGCCAAGGCCAATCCATCTCTCATAGCTTCCTGAAAACAACACTCGTTTCCCTATAATATGTTCTTTCTTGGTCCTTTTGTAATAGCAATACTATAGCAAAATGCTCCACACAATAAAATGCCTCCTCGGTTCAGTGGATCCCAGCGGCTTCAGCTCCAAGTCGATGGCCGAGCAGGTCATCGAAGCATGTTCCGATCTCTGCTCCATCACCGCTATTATCAGAGTTCACAGGTGACCCCACTTCTACAGTTCCATGTACATTACTCTCATATTAATAGGCATTCTCTATCTTTAGTTTCTCTTCACTTGTTTTTTAAACCACTTGACTTACCAAGTGTCGTCACCTCAGGGATCGAGCTGAGACGACACGGATTTTAGTGAAACGTGGTGCCAGGCTTGTTCTCCCAGGAAAACTGTCGAGGAAGCCAAGGCCCGTATTCTGGTTGAGTTTCCAGAGTCTTAAATCTTCATCATGGCTATCAATATATCTCAGCTCTCTTTCTTTCGTACAAACCTTCCTTTCTGAGTTTGAATCCCTCAATTTGCCTCTTAATCTGCTCATGTGAATCATGTCAGCACCCAAGTAAAAGAAAAATAAATTTATTCTATTTTTTCTCTTATTATTTATTTTATCTGGTTCATAATGAACTTCAAACATATGAATTAAAAATCAATAAGAGAATAATTGATATATAGAAAATTAGATGACACTTGAAGGATAATTGTGTCTTTTCACATGCCATTCTTTTTCTAATAGCCTCTTGGCTTCCCCTTTCCAACTGTTTAAGCTTCCCATGTCGTTCATCCAGATTTCTATTTGTGCCTTCCACTTTCGATCCCAGCTTATTTCTCAGGGTTAGGACACCCTCATTTTTAATTAGTTTCCTCCTGTTTACCCTTGATACCCATGCGCAACTGTCATCAAGATTAGATTAAGACTCCACGGAAAAACTGAGGAAACTGTTTAGTCTCACAGCTACCTAATAACTCAAGAAAAAGCAAAATAAAATTTAAAAAGATAAAGAAAAACAATGAAAAACTATTGGGTTTCTAGCATATAAAGCAACTTTTGGGGTTTAATATCAATAAAAGTAATATATTTAAAAATTTCAAAAATAGGTTAACTTTTTAAAAATAATATCAATAAAGGGCAAAAATACTGTTCATCTTCTTCTTCTTGTCATTTATTCACTAGAGCTGCCATCCGCCACCACCCGCCACCGCCATCCGCTATCAGAGGTGGTAGCAGCGGCGCTGGTGGTCATTCCTCTTCTTGCTACCGCCGCCACCTCTGTCTCCACCCATCTCCGGCAACGTTGCTAGAGGCAGAGGCGGAGGCGGAGGTGGGCTGAGGTGGCGGCATTGGACAGAGAAACCACCAACGCCGCCACCACCACCTCTACCTCTAGCCACCTCCGACAATGTTGCCGGAGGCGAAGGCAATGGTGGGCGACAACAGACGACAATGGCGGGCGGCGGCGGATGGTGGCTCTGGTGAACAAAAGGCAAGAAGAAAAAAGATAAACAATGCTTTTTCCTTTTATTGATATTATTTTTAAAAAACTAACCTATTTTTAAATTTTTTTTTAAATATATTATTTTTATTGATATTAAACCCCAAAAGTTACCTTTATATAGTATTTCACTTCTCGCAAACCCGCTCATACTAGCTTATATTCTATGCAAAGGTCAACTAACTATCAGCAACAACTTACAAGCCTACAATGCTCCTTCAATATTCCTCACAATGTTTGGTCCCACACCACCTCAGAAGTGGACAAATTATAAATCTCGTCACAGGTGGAAACAGTTGCGGGAGAATTTATCATAATTCAAGTGGGCAAATTATAAATTTTCCTATTTGAAATAAAAAAAAAATGCTTAAGATGTGGCCCACCATCCAATTGGGACCGCTGATTTCTACGAAATCTCCGGAAGTCCGGACCCGGGAGGAAAAATTGGTGACATCGCTTAAGATCAATGACGTGGCACTTCTTCTTCTTGCTTTGATGAACAGCCTCTATTTTTTCTTTTCTGGATAGTTTCCAAGAAGCAATACCGAAAGAACGAGGTAGGAATTAAGTCTTAATTACTCCTACGAAAAATGTCGTTAATTACTGTAATTAATAAACCACGTGGCTCACATGAGACCTAAACAACCGTGCAGATTGCTTGCGTGGTGGCTACGCTCATTAATTAATCACACATCTCCGTTACCTCAAAAATCCCCATCCTTCTCCCTGTAGACTCTAGAGTCTAGGCTGACTGTATATATAATACTTAAACTTGCCAGGCGGCCAATTATATATTGTCTGGTTGTTGGTATTTTAAGGAAACAACCTCGAAAGGGGAGGCAGGGTAACTACAGCCGTGCATTGGGAATATTTTCCCATGTAAAAATATACAAATACAGAGATAACAATGTGTTAAACTGTTAATTAATTAACACTAAAAATATATATTTTAAGTAGACGTTAGGTACCACAATGTCCACGATTCCACGAAGCTTCGCATAGCAAGAACTTTGCCCTTTTACCCTTTCAACGCTATATCTCTTTGTTTTATATGTTAGTCTTTTTAGCCCAAGACAAGTGCAGCCTTTTTAACAGAAAGGTGGCTAATCATACCCATAGAGAGTTCAGAGATTTAGACATTTTTCTCCCCAAAGTTGGTCCTTTCCGTTTCTATCGATGCCATTGGGCTTTACAAGTTGACGAATTGCAGCTTAATTCATCTATAAAGGTCGGTTCGGTCTGAGATTTCAAACTTTTCTGCGCTGAGCTGTTCTTTTGTCTTCGTCATCATCTTCTTCTTCTTTATCCTACTTGCAGCAGAGAAGCTAGACGCCTGAATTCTGAGTGAAAAAAAGTTCGTAAAATGATAAGTTTGCGAAGCGGAAACTGCTCGGTCACTGTGACGGGAATCTCGAACAACATGTTCATGTCTCAACATCTCTCTGGGAAAACCTAGAAAGCAATTCCGCGCGCCTGGCTTGCTTCTCTTTTTGATGTTCAAAAGAGACTGGCAGAGAAGGAAGTGGAAATTGTAACCGATTGGTCAAGAGGGGCTCCGATGGAGAGTGGTGGAGAGATTACCGAAGCATTACCTTCGACCAGTAATGTTCAAGATAAAATCTTTGTGGCCGTTGGAAAAGACGTGAAGGAGAGCAAATCGACTCTGTTATGGGCGTTAAGGAACTCGGGAAGGGATAAGATATGCATCCTTCATGTTCATCAGCCTCCACGTACAATTCCGCTCAGTAAGTTAATCAGACCTTTCCGTGAATATTCATTTCAAGCTATTATATGGTCCGCTTTGCTATCAGATTGAATGTTCTAGCTTCATAGTTTTTAAATCATTCAGAACTGGGATTTCTTGAAATTCTCTTATAGAATCTCTTCTCCTTTAAGAAAGAGTAGCCCAGTAGGTAGTCCAGCTGAATTCAGATTGCTAGACTGCAAAGCTATTAGACTTGTTTGTCTCTTTTCACTGTTTTTTCTCGTTTTGGTATTATGTTTTCGCTTTTATTTTCTTGCACTGAACTTCTTTCAGTGTTCTTGGTGACAAGGCTTCTAATTTTTAAATTCCAATTGAGACAACCAGAAGGAAAAATAGCTAGGAAACAAGACTTGGGGATAACTGGAACAAAGTATTAAATCTTTTCTCTACTGTTCTCATTTTTTTTTAATTCTTTTACAATTTTGATGCTGTTATTTTTTATATTTTGTCCCTATTTTCATGAATTATATATTCTATATGATACTGTTATAGTTTACATTCATTATTTCCTTGACCTAAGAATTTACATGATGAAAATCTGGTCCAGGGATTAGTTGCTTTATCAATAAAGTTCACATTCCAATAGCTTTACCAATAAATTTCACATCCAATTCAACCTTAAACCAATCTATTTTGGGTTTTCTACACAAATTCTATCCTCATTCTGCTCTATCAAGAGCCATGTTTGTTATGGAATTGTGAGTTCCTATATCAAGCCTAGAAACATTAATAAGAATGTGTAAGAATATAAGAATAATATGGACTTGGACAGGAGGAATGTCCTACAGATTTTGCGGTTCTAAGCTAAGAATAGTGGACAAAGAAAATTGAGATATATGAGAAAGAATAGACTGGAAGAGAGAAAAAAAAAACAAGGACTTAGCTCACAATAAATAAATTCAAATTATTCTTATTCCATATTCTAATTTACTCAAACACTAGGTACTAGTACTACCAAAAGATGTACTTTCGTAGACTCTAGTAAGAATAATTGGTTAGCCTACTTTCCTAACTTTAGATTATAAGATTGAAACAAAATAGAATCTCTGAACTCAATTGTCGCCTATTAGTATCTTGCGAATAAAATGGCCAAATTTTCCATATTCACAATTTCACATTGAATTTACAAAACCTCAGCCTTGTTGGGTATGTAACTAAAAAGAATTATCAGAAATATCAAAATCAAGCAAAACAAACATGTTTTGACCTCTGGAAAAAAAAGCATTAAAAGAGTAACATGATTTCAACCTAAGGTCAAAAAATAAAAGAAAACTATGGAGTCCACAAGACAACCATTAGATACTTCATAAACTTCTAAACAAACTAAACACACTCCTACATTGAACTTACTAAAAATTAAAATTCAAAAATCTTTACCAAACTGAAAATTATAAAAGTTATGAAAATATCACATCTGGTCTGATATGCATGAGTATTTACATGTGAATGGAGGAGGATATGGCCCATGAATCTGTAGGTGTCACAGACTGAATGGGAGTGGAGAACAAAAAAGTACAGAAGATCCGGACTCCTAGATATCACCTAGGTTGGTTGGCCTTTACAACTGTAAAAGAGCAACAGGTCCCACCAGTGAGAAACCCATTTTTCCCAGGAAGCTCCAAAGCTATAGATCAGTTTCTTTTTCTTTTCTTCTTGGTTTACTTTCTAGGATAACATACTTCTTAATGAATTGATTTCCTCCTTCTCTGGTGCAAATACAGTTGCCTTGGAAACCACTTCTTAATGAACTTATTTCCTCTTTCATGAGTTCAGTTCTTTGGAGAAGCACTTCTTTTGGTTGGGCCTGTTCAACTGCACAAGACTAACAGGTCCCACTGGTGAGAAACCACTTTTCCCAGGATGCTCCAAGGATCAGCTTCTTTTTTCTTTTCTTCATGGTTTTCTTCAATTCTAGGATAACATGCTTCTTAATGAATTTATTTCCTCCTTGTCTAGAGCAAATACAGTTGCCTTGGAAACCACTTTTTGATGAATTAATCCTCTTGCACGAGTTCAATTCTTTGGAGAAGCACTTCTTTCTTTAGAGAAATACTAGTAGGCCCACGGGTTATGCAACTTTTGGATGTCTACTCGTACAGATGTGGTGAGACCCATGAAAATACACATTACATGACAAAATTAGGCATGGATTCCACATTGCCTGAAGGGCTAGGTATCCCAAGAGTTGCATAAACTCATTTTTTACCAGCATTCCTCTTTTATAAAATGATTAGGAGAACTCTATATCTCTTATGTGCATTGTGCTCCTTTTTTTTGCCTTATCTAATTCACTCTTCTCATTTTTATTATGTAGACATGGTTCTCAAGCTATCTTCTATGGCATAGTAATTTTTATCTTTTCCCCATTTCTTGTTGTTCTACAGTGGGTGGAAATCTTCCAATAAGTGCAGCATCAGAGAAGGAAGCAAGGTTACACCAAGACCATGAAAGGCAAAAAATGCATGATACTCTAAATGAATATCTTTCGATTTGCCTCTCCACTGGGGTATTGATTTGCACTTGAAGTATGCATATGGTTGTTTCTCTATTGTACTCCAATGATGATTAACTTTGTTTCATATAGCAAAACAAATGATCCTCATATTTAATTGAAGTTGGGGGAGAAACTGTTTCCAATAATGTTAAACAAATGATCCTCATTTTTAACTTTGACAGTTTTATTGTTTTTTCAAGTGAGGTACAGTGATAATTTTGTATAATAGCACAAAACAAGTAGTATTCACTTTCATTTAAGGTTAGGAAAACCAGTGTTTGGTGATGAAAATTGCTTTTTCTCACTGGCTGTCCACCATATGTATGTACCAGATCTAAACCATTCTAACATCTTGGAGACCCATTTTGAATATATATATATATATATATAATGGACATACTTGCATAAATGTTCTTAATGATTGTTGACCTCAATGATTTATTTCTTATAGGTCCAAGCAGAGAAACTAGATATTGAAATGGACAGTATTGAGCAGGGGATCGTAGAGCTCATTGCTCAGCATGGGAATAAAAAACTCGTTATGGGAGCAGCAGCAGACAAGCACTATTCAAAGTATAAATTAATTGCAGTGTCTAATATATTTCTATATTTAATTTTTATCACTTGGGGTTTTATATTTTTTGTGATTGGTGCTGTTAAGACTTATAACTCCCATTCAAAAGTCTAAACAAGATAGTAAATAGGACCCTAATATTTCAATTGAGATAAAACATTATTTTTTGAAGACAGAACTAGACATTGATTAAGGAAACGTGTCAACAGGTTCATATTGGCCTGTTAGATGTGTGCCCTTTTTTACTCTCACTAAAATGTTGATATTGACATTTTTGGTTAACTCTTATAAAGTCTTATAAAGAATTTGACGCCATTTTTGTCTCTTCCTATTTGATATTCTATTGAAATAGGAATTTGTATTTTGATTGTCTGTGACCTCTAAGTTAAATTTGGTGTGTTTTAACCTCTTTGGTAGGATTATGTAAGACAAAACTCACTCAACCAACACTACTGAGACTTGCATTTACTTCAAAATGTGTTCATTAACCTGTATTCTTACTTGCCATTTCAGGAGAATGATGGATCTCAAATCAAAGAAAGCAATCTATGTGAGCAAACAAGCACATTCATCATGCCATATATGGTTTATCTGTAGAGGAAACCTTATCTACACAAGGTATGCATTAGATTTTAGTTACCACAATATGGTCATGCCAATAATGATGATAAGGGACCCAAAGTCAAGGAACATCTTGGGGATCCTAAAGGCCTCCATTACACTTCTAAATCTTCCATTATCCCCCTGCTTTGAACCTTTATACTCTATTTAAACATCCAACATGGCTGCTTTGTAATATGTGAGTGGTTCAAGAGACGGGCAGTTAAATGGCCTGAGCTCTTTATGATGAGTTACCACATATATAACATGGATGACTAGTTTCTACTTGTGATGTACTGAAGGAATCACGAGAAGTTTAACTCAAAAAAATGTTCTTCCAAACGGATCTTTAATGTGACAACCATCGCTAACAATAGAACCGTTTACGAAACAGGGAAGGTAGTTCAAAAGGATCAGAAACAGAGGTCTTTCCAACGCCAATGGCCAGTCCAAGCACCAGACCTACCCAATCAGCCTCTTTCAATTCTGGATCTCTTCTGCAGGCACAAAACAGCCATGTGAGGCTAACAAACCCAGTTCAGGATTTACTATTCCGACTAGTGAAATCTGATAAATTTGTCAGTCACAGAGGAAGACTCACAGCATCATCTTCCTCAGAAGTTTCTGGAGAAATGGCAATACCACGGATTCAGTCATCTATAGAGGTGACTGCCAATGGATGGGAAATGATATCACGAAGTTTCCCTTCTCAGAGTTCAGGTAATTCAACGTGGTCTTCAATTGGAGAAGCTGGCAATTTAGATACAACCTCAATGACAACGAATGCTCAGAGTGACGAGGGGTTGTCCTCTCTTTATGAACCCAACGAGGATCTTCATTGTACATCTCCTGCAAATGATCCGGTACTTGTATGTAGTTCTTGCTACTTGTTATAGTACTGTCTACCATCTGTATATTTAGTAGAGGGATAGTAGTTTTGAAATATGTGGTATGTGCCTCAAAATACCTGTTAAATCAAGATAAAGTGAAGTTAAATTCTTGCATTTGGGTTGAATCTGAGCCACCCAAAGTACAACATTCCCGAGTTTTTTAGCGGGTAATGCTGCAGGTTTTTTCTTTCAATGGTCTCCAAAGAACAAGTTGGAGCCTTGGAAGAAATCATGCATCAATTGTTAAGAAAAGCAAGTTGAGCTGGACCCAGTTCCAAATCCCGCAATCAATTAAGGCTTCAAAAGCTATGTGATGTGCTTGGTAGGTCTGTCCTGCCAGTTCTAACTCTGCATCTATACACCCTTGAATTGTAGAGAAGTTAAATTCAGTTTCCTTTGGCTCTGTAGGAATTAGGAGCTTCTCTTTCAAAACCATTGTCAAGTTGGGTCAGTTGGGTCTAACTTACCAACTCAAATTCTTTAATGGGTGAACAACTTCAATATTTTCTTTGGATTTTAGGTGGAGCAAGGACCAGTGAATGATGAACTATATGATCAACTTCTACAAGCCATGGCTGATGCTGAGAACTCAAAGCAAGAAGCATTTGAGGAGTCTGTCAGGCGTCGGAAAGCTGAAAGGGATGCAATTGAGGCTATACGAAGAGTAAGTAATTTCTTTTTTTGTCTGATCCAAATCCTTCTATTCCTTAATGGATAATCCTATTTTCGACTTTGACTTCATAAAGCCTTAGCCATCCATATGGAATCAGCTAAATGAATCCTTTTGCCATTCCGCTCTATCGAGGGTCATGTCCTGTAATGATGATTTTCTTACTTTGTTGATTTTTTGGTAGAATATTGTGTTTCTTTATTTACTCTGCAATATTACTACAAAGTCAATTTTCTACTTATTCTCATTGACTAGTAAATATGAGGGAAATTTCTAATAGAAAAGCAAGAAAATTAAAAGTTAAATAGATTATGCTACTTCCAACCTGAACAGTAGACAGAGCCTTACAGGCCTGTTGATCTTGAGTCCCTTACAATGGAATCAGCTGGCCAAATTTTGATGGGTTTAAGATTGTACTCTAAGTTCAAAAAGTTTATTAATATGTTTTTTGTGTTAAAGCGGCACAAAAATATATTAATTTAGAATTTCAAGTTAACGAGATGTTAGGTTTTTGCATACAATAGGAAATGCTGCATCATTTCCAGCTGCTTTAATATGTAACTTTCAAAATGAAAACTGGGGAGAGCCTTCATATTCTTCTCCTGGATCTCACAAGTACAGCTGAACTTTGCAGGCCAAAGCGTCAGAAATGTCGTATGAGAAAGAGAAGTTGCAAAGAAAAGAAATGGAGGAATTGCTTGCAAAAGAAAAACGAAAGGTTGAAAAAATGAAGAGCTTGTTGGAGCAAGCAACAGAAGAACTTCAGATTGCCCAGGGCAAGAAATCAGTACTGGAGAGGCAAATTTGTTATACCAACTCAGAGTTGCTAGAGTTGGAGGAGAAGCTCGTTTTAGCAGATGAACTTATTCTGAATCTTAAGAATGAGCGAGATGAGTTGGAGAAAGAGCGTGAGAGTGCAGTTGGAGAAGCTTTGGAGTTGAGAAAAAAGATGGAAGATGATGACACAAGCATATCAAGGATGCAATGCTTCTCTGAGTTCTCCGCAGAAGAGATTAAGGAAGCTACCCAAAACTTTGACCCAGCCCTGAAGATAGGTGAGGGGGGATGTGGAAGCGTATACAGGGGACACCTTCGTCACACCCAAGTGGCGATAAAGATGCTTCACTCTCATAGCTCGCAAGGTCTCATCGAATTCCAACGGGAGGTAAATCTGGCCCAAGTTTCATGGATTGAAGTTTGGCATTGTTATTTCACACTGGCTGATTCATGAGCATATGTTTGATGCAGGTGGATGTGTTGAGTAGAGTGCGGCATCAGAACCTTGTCACTCTCATTGGAACCTGCCCAGAAATGTGGTGTCTTATATACGAGTACCTTCCCAATGGCAGCCTTGAAGACCGACTTGCCTGTAAGGACAACACTCCCCCTCTTTCATGGCAAATGCGAACTCGAATTGCTGCAGAAATGTGCTCTGCCCTGATGTTCCTCCACTCCCACACTCCTCATAGGATTGTCCATGGGGATCTCAAACCTGCCAACATCCTCCTTGATGCCAACTTTGTCAGTAAGCTTGGTGATTTTGGCATCTGCCGTTTCATCCCCCATGATGAAGACTCAGCATGCTGGAGAACTGACCCAAAGGGTACATTTGCCTATGCGGATCCTGAATTCCTCTCTACCGGAGAATTAACACCAAAGTCAGACGTGTACTCATTTGGGGTAGTACTGTTAAGGCTGTTGACGGGGAGACCACCATTAGGCATAATGAGGGAGATGCAGTATGCACTAGAGAAGGACAATTTGGATGCAGTATTGGATGCATCGGCAGGAAACTGGCCTTTTGTGCAAGCAAGGCAATTGGCTCACTTGGCACTTAGATGTTGTGAGATTAGCCGGAAAAACCGTCCAGAGCTTCGATCAGACCCATGGAGGGTGCTTGAGCCGATGAAGGCTTCCTGTGCAGTTTCTTCATCAGCCCATCTGGGACCAGTGGATTATGGACGCGTTCCATCCTATTTCATTTGCCCCGTCTTTCAGGTGAGTGTTAACTACTTGGCTCTACTTTTAAAATCAAGATCAAATCTTGGCTTCCTTACCCAGTCATTGGTATTTGGGAGTAGGGACTAGCAATCCTCACTGAATTCTCCTCACAGCGTGTTGCAGCTGCACATCATGAACATCTCTCTTGTATGTTTTCATTCATGGGGAGATATTCCAAATGCACAGCTGCAAGTGCTGTGAGGTGGCTGTGAGAAGTGAGATCCATTATGTGAGGAGGAAATCCAGATAAGGCAAGAGTTCCGATTTCGTCCTCACAAGATGTTCCTCACACCCACCTTACAGCATGTTCCTCACATCTGCAAGTGCTTTGAGGTGTGAGGTTGGTGTGAGGAAGAAATCCAGATTCCACACAATTCATTCTCTCATCCATTAAGGGTGCAAATGAATTGGATTTAATCCCATTCGTTTTAGTTGGACTTGGATTAAATTCGTTTTAGTTGGACTTGGATTAAATTTAATCCCATTTAGCCGTAATTGGATTAAATTGGGTGTGAAAATATAATAGAAAAGTACGGACAGGCCTAATGCAGATTTCTAAATTCTCTTGCAAATCTATAAATATTCAAAATGTCAAAAACCCACTCTCTATGCACCCATATCCTCCCGTGAATTGGCATCAATTCCGAGCTGGCACCTACCCCAACTGTACTTTGTGCCTATGAATTCTGACCCTGGGCTAAAAGGTCATTCTCTATAATTCATTTATTAACTAGATGGAATTCAGACATTGTTTGATTTGATCCATTAGGATTGGGATTCAGATCGGGCATCTAGATATACAATCAAATTGAGTTCAAACCTATCCGTGAGATGTTGGATAGCCGATCGAAATTGGATATCATCTCGGATTCTTATTGGATCATATTTGGTTTACCTTTATCCGAATTTGATCAATCTAACTTGCAGCCCTACTCATCATCCATCACATCTTCACCACGAGGATATAGAATTACAACCCACCAAAATTATTATACGTAGGTAGTTCACAAACAGAAGAATGATATTACCGTTTTTTAAGGATATGTTTGGGAGTGCTTAAAAATAAGTGCTTATTTGGGTGGAAACCACACCATTAAGCACTTATTGGTGTTTGGGAAATAAGTCTGAAATAAGTGTTTATTTTAAAATAAGGGCTTATTTTTTCAGCTCAAATTTTCTATTTTTTTTAAGTGTTCATACTATAAGCACTTATTCAATTTTTTCTCCCATAATTGTCCTCAGTGAATTCTTAGAATACCAATTATACCCTTTTACAAAAACAATTTTACAAGTCACTTTTATAAAAGTAATTTTATGAAAAGTACTTTTATGAGAGTAAAGTATTTTTATGAAAGCATTTTTACGAAAGTAATTTTATGAAAAGTACTTTTATGAAAGTAAAGTATTTTTATGAAAGCACTTTTGTAAAAGTATATTTACAAAAGCAATAATTTTTATAAAAGTATTTTTACGAAGGCACTTTTATAAAGGTACTTTTACGAAAGCACTTTTATAAAGATAGTTTTATGAAAGCACTTTTATAAAAGTACTTTTACGAAATAAATATACTTTTATAAAAGTACTTTCGTAAAAGTGCTTTCATAAAAGTACTTTCATAAAGTTCTTTCATAAAATTACTTTCATAAAAGTGCTTTCATAAAAATACTTTACTCGTAAAAGTATTTTTCATAAAATTACTTTTGTAAAAGTGCTTTCGTAAAAGTACTTCATAAAAGTGCTTTCATAAAAATACTTTCCTCACAAAAGTACTTTTCATAAAATTAAAAGTGCTTTCGTAAAAGAATTTTAATAAAAGTGCTTTCGTAAAACTACCTTTATAAAGTGCTTTCATAAAAGTATTTTCATAAAGTTCTTTCATAAAAGTGCTTTCATAAAAATACTTTACTCATAAAAGTACTTTTCATAAAATTACTTTTGTAAAAGTACTTTCATAAAAATACTTTCCTCTAACAAAAGTACTTTTCATAAAATTACTTTTATAAGTGTTTTTGTAAAATTGCTTTTGTAAAAGGATATAATCGGTATTCTAAAAATTGTTTTACGAAAGTACTTTTGTAAAAGAACTTTTATAAAAGCACTTTTATAAAAGTGCTTTTATAAAAGCACTTTTATGAAAACATTTTTATAAAAAGTATTTTACATAAGTACTTTTACATTTCATAAAAGTACTTTTACTCATTCAATTTGTATTGGATATTTTGAAAATTTGAAAGAAAATGAAGGACAAAAGAGTCACAATTGCTTATTTAAGTGCTTATTGGAAAAAAAGACCACCAAACACTTGATATAAAATGTGTTTATTTTTTAAAATCACTTGAAAAAGCTGGATGCCAAATGCAAATAAGTGCTTATTCGAATAAGTACTTGTTTTTAAGCACTTATTTTTAGAGTTCAAATCTATGGGGTGCCCCACAACGTCCTGCAGCACATTCTCACCGTGTTTTAGGAACATCTCCCAATGATAATACCAGAAATGATGATGTCATCATCAGGAGATGTTCCCAATACATGGTGGGGATGTGCTGTGGGACGTGGGATGCATATGTAAACTCTTATTTTTAATATAAACACTCCCAAACATGGCCTAAGTCTATCGCCTCCCAGCCATTACCCATTATATGGCATAGCAGCAGACATCCATGGTCCTTGATAATAATTGCTAGAGTCCCCTGGTGTGGTATTATGAGTGATTAAGATGGTAATGGGTAACCGATGCCCGGCTGTGTCCAATAGGCCCATGACTGTAATAAGTCTTAACGTTATGCCATTGGTACTTCTAAAAAAGTCATTGGTTCCGGCTGATTTGAAAACGAATTGGTTCTTACGCTGTGTTTGGTTGCATGCAAATTAATTTGTATTAGTACAAATACATAAGAGTGCAAATGTAAAAAATGTAAATTCTTGTTTAATTTTGTTTTGGATTTTATTTTGTTCTGCTTTATGTCATAATTTACTTCATTTGTACTGCAATCAAATAAAATAAGCTAAAATTTGAAGCAAAAATAGGCTAGAATTTATACTCAAATCATTTGCACTGCCATAGTTTTGCATCAATGAAAATTTATTTGCATTGCAACCAAACACAGCCCTATTAATAACAAAAATACAGAAAATTTGTTGTTGGTTTATGGTTATGTATGTGTTTTTTTTTTCTTGGGCTGTTTGGTTGCAATGCAAATAAATTTGCACTGATGGAAAACCATGGCAGTGCAAATGATTTGAGTGTAAATTCTGTCCTATTTTGTTTCAAATTTTAGTTTATTTTGTTGTACAAATGGAGTAAATTAAGACATGAGGCAGAATAAAGTAAAATCCAAAACAAAATTAAACAAGAATTTGCATTTTTTTTACATTTGCACTCTAATGCATTTGTACTAGTGCAAATAAATTTGCACTGCAACCAAAACAGCCTTGTGTCCAAAACTGAAACCAAATCTGTTCTTGAATTGTTGAGTTTAAAGAACATGTTATTTATTATCATGTTCCATGACTCATATAATTTCTATACTTTTATTTTAGAAATTATTATTTTGGCAGTTTTAGTAACATTTTTTTTTTAAACAAAATCAACTTGCTTTTAGATTTCAAAATATAAACACAGTTCATGAACGTTCTTTTGGTTAATCTGCTAATATGGCAAATTTAAAAATAAATGAAAACAAAAAACATTGATATTGTAGAACACCCCCTTAAATGTCCATCAGGCATTTTATATGGCAGCCGATACCTAATGTTTAGGCTGAAACCTCCCTCCTTTTTGAACGTCTGTTGTGCTGTATTTTTTTTAAACCATTGATATAAAATGTCTGGTAACAAATTACAATAACTATCTATCAATCAATAAATAAATAAATAGGCCTTGTTTGGTTTACTGCTTTAGGCTTCATTTTTTTAATTTATAATGGGCAAGAATGAATAATATTAGAGCATTTAGTTACAAAATTCTTGCCATGGGTCTCACTACATCAAGAAAATTATTCATATCCCATCTTGCTTTTTTTCATTCTTTAAAGAAACTCTATGATGGCAAACATTAACCGTTGTTATAGATGTTTATTGGTGGATTGCCATGGAAACTTATGTTGACAGACATTGACCATTGGCCATCTGTCGGTAAATAGATGGTTTTGGAGACTGCCAGCACAGAACTTTTTCGAAGATTTAAAATGAGCAACATATGGCACTTACTTTTCAAATTGGAAAAAAATATATTATTTAGAAAAAAATAAGTTTGGTTCACAGCAATATTTTCTCATTCTGCCCATTTTTATTTATTTTTATTCATTTTAGAATTTTACTTTAGGTAATAATGAGAAAGAATGAGAGTTGAACCAAACATGGTAAGTGTATGATAACAAGAAAATCCATCATTAAAATGACCATGGTTTTCAAAACCGGACCGGACCGGATGGTCGGACCGGAAAAATCGGGAATCGGTCACCTGACCGGTTCTGTTTTCCCCCAAAGTCGTTGATTTTGGTCAGCAAACTACTGAACCAGCCGGTTAACCGTTCAAATGGTTTTGACCGTTTTTCATTTTTTTTTTGTTAAAACAGGCTGACCGTTCGGATTGAACCGTCGGACCGTTCGAATTGGTAACCGGACCCCTGGCCGGTTCGGTTTTAAAAACCATGAAAATGACACAAAAGATACTTCAATGCCATTCAAGTTTTAAAATGTCTGATAACAAGAAATCACCCCTTTTATTAAAATGAGTACTTCAATGCAATTCAAGTTTCAAAAATACCCCTTAGGCTATCAAACCACAGCCTTACATACCAAATATCAGTACTTGCTATTCAATTCACCAGAGATCTTCACCCAATATTGTCAAACTTGAACCACATTGAATGGTAGGATCAAGGTTCAAAATATCGATATGCCCGATATGCTGGTATGGGCGTATTGGGAGAATTGATATTGTTTTTTTTTTAAGTTTTTTATTTTTTTTTTCTGAAACCGGTTCAGGGGGGCCGGTTTAGGTCTCTTTCATCCCCTGAACCGGTCAAACCCTCGATTCACCCACTATAGGGGCATATCGGAGGGGTCTCGGAATGATACGTATCGACCGATACGTGTCAATACTTTGAACCTTGGGTGGAATTAGGCTCCCATTTCGGAAACCAATCTCTTGACTTTAGTTACAAGACTTTAATTAATTAATCAAATACATAGATGGGTAGCCATCATAATTGGGCATTTGGCAAATTGGATCAGGACTCAAAGCGTATGACCCCATACCCAAACCTTAATGGACCCGTAACCCATTTTTTGGTAGGATCTAGATCTAGGTGGACTCAAGCATGCGGATCCAGACCAGATACCCATTGACATAACACAACTAATCACCGCGTGGCATTTCAACTCTTGGTGAGTTGAAGTGTTCCCATCTAAAGCAGGATGCAGCTTATAGTTGTATGTGCATCACCTTTCCAAGCTTCTCATCACTCATCTGGTATAAGGCTGCATTTGGCATTAGGACTTACCTCCTTTTTTTGCAGTTAAAATGTCTTAATAAAAATTGAGTCTTGTTTGCTTATTGTCACTCAGCCCGCCTGTAATCAATTCAAGTTAAAATCAGCCCCCACAACGTCCTATAATGCATTCCCGTGTATTAAAAACATTTTTCGATGCATCATCGGGAGATGTTTTCAATACGCAGCGAGGATGTGCAGTGGAACGTTGTGGGGCGCCCTCCAGTGGGGGGCTGATTTTAACTCGCTTATAACCATGTAGCCTAGGTTGTCAGTTGGCCCATCGAGGAGATATCAATTCAAACCCGTGGAAAATCAGTTCCTTCGAGTTGTGTGCCCATGGCTTGCATGCATCTCTGCCACCCTACTAAGCCACTGAGCATTTATCTCATCACTCTATGGGACTAAAAGAAAACAAGAAAAGATAATTCATAATTCCAATTCCAGCTCAGCGGGTAACCCGTGCAAGTGAAACTCTTCCTAGCTTTTTAACATGAGCACGTGGCATTGCACTTGTTAGACCAAAAGCATCACGATTGGGGTCTTGGGCCTCATCCACGTGGGTGTAGATTTCGTGGGTTGCGTCTTGTGGGTAGCAGATCCGGCTCATGACAAGTTCCCCAGAGTCCCAGACTGGTAAATGGTCCCAGACCCAAGCCGAAGCCTTTTCTCGAATATGATATATCCGGTATATGGGTGACCACCTGGTACGATACAATTAAAGGACACCCTGTTGGTTTCCTTCAGTGGTATCTTTGATTCCTGAATGGAGGTATGGCCGCATGGGCTGGTCCAGGCTGTGTTCAATTTGAAAGTAGGACGTTCTAACTGAGCCAATCCTGAATTCGGGCAGGGCTAATGTACTGGAGGAATGCTAGGTTGGCCCACCCAGACTGTCTTGTTGACATCAAGGTTCAAGGGGCCATAGCTGTCTTCTGATTTACCAGCTCCGCAACAGGTCACCCACCCCCCTTGCATTGGTCATACATATAGTATGTAGATAGGACTCAAGTCAGTCGTCCACGTACCTGGAAGAAGCTGAAAAGTAATGGTTCGATTGTGCCTAGTATTTGCCATTAATGTGATTTAATCCCATTATTAATAATGACCCAAACATATTTGTCTTGATTTTTAACTTTATATTAATCCCTTTCCCTATAATATTATTTATAAAGTGGGACACTTGCTTTGGGTTTCGTATTTATGTGATTAATATTTATTTGCACACATGTAAGCATGAACTCAATTTGGGCTAAATTAGGTTAGGTCAATGGTCAACTTTAAATTTTGAATCTCAACTGAATCCGTTGCGGAACCCAACCTTCAATCTAAAGTTGGGTTGGGTTGGATTTATTTGGGCCCAGTTTCTTTACTTATTTTTTACCCTAATAGTCTCAGTTGGGTTTTATATGAAAACGAGGACCACAAGGTCACGATGTTTCAGCACTGTATTTATGTTACACATAACAACCAGCGTACAGACTGTGGACTGTTGATGTATTATTATATGATGTACACCTAACACTCACAAGAGCAGACATGTTGGATTTGGGTTTGGATTGCACCCTTAAGGCTGTGTTTGGTTGCAGTGCAATTTTATTTGCATTAGTATAAAGGCAAATTTGAAACAAAAAAGTTGTCAGAATTTACATTCAAATCATTTGCATTGCGGATCAGTGCAAATTTATTTGCATTGCAACCAAACACAGCCTAACCTACATGTTTATACTTTGCAATGTTTAAGTGCTTTTGTGCTTGGATTGAAAAACAATAAAAAAAACAAAAATTGATTAAAAACATGAGTACATCTTTTCTTGTATTATGGATTTATGGTTGTTATTCCTGATCAAACTGTAGGAAATCATGCGAGACCCTCACATTGCAGCAGATGGTTATACGTATGAAGCTGAGGCATTAAAAGCATGGATCGACAGTGGCCACGACACTTCACCCATGACAAACCTTAAGCTTGCCCACTGCAATCTTATCCCAAATCATGCCCTACGATCTGCAATTCAAGAATGGCTACAGAACCATCCCTGAAATCCTATTGTATGTATTTTTGTTATTCTTTTAATTTAAATTTTGTATATAACCAAAATACAAGTACACATGCCCATATAAGAAAGAAGATGACGTGAAATACAAAATTTGTTAAACACATTGTTGGAATAAAAATAGGTAAACTAAAATCAAATCCGAATATCCCTTTGGCCATAAATTAAAACTGGAGAGAAGCAGTAATAGATGACAAAAAACAAACATCCAAGTTTTTTTTTCTTTTTTGTTGATATTAAGAGAATTAAATTACACAGCACGAGGGAACGATCTCCAAGCTAAGTCTAGGAGGGAGATGCAGCGAAGATCCCAGGGGAAGTCTTTGAAGAAGAGTCTCGAATCTTTGATGTCCCTAACCAATCCCACTGCACAGTTGCCTTCTTTCTAGGTTTGAACATACTTGCCTCTAGGGGTGTAAATGGATCAAATTCTAATTGAATCAGATAATATCCAAATTCGAATCTGATTAGAAATTTTGATATTCGAGGGATATTGAAAAAATAATATTCAAATCAAATTCAATTAAATATTTGATTCGAATTCAACAAATTAATTATTTCAGGTAATTAACAAATATATAAAATAAATATTTTATTTATATATATATAAATTATTTATATATTTTAATTATTATATGTATAAAATATATAAAACATATAAATATTTCATATATTATATAATTCAAATCCAATTAGCTATTTGGTATGAATAGGATATCCGAATTCAACCAATTAGATATTCGAATTATCCGAATTTGATTCGATTATGTCAAATCTCAAATTCAAAATTAGATTTTCAAATACCGTTGACACCCTTACTTGACTCCTCGGGTAGACTTGTTCACGGGCCAGGCTTCGGGACTGATTTACACTGTGTTGGGCTTGGGTTTCGAGCTGGGCCCCATTCAAAATTTGGCAAAAATCAAGCCCGAGCCCGACCCATGAACAGGTCTACCCTCGAGGAAGACTTTTGGTGATGGAATTGTAGTCCACAAATCGGTGGGTGCATCTCCAAGGGGGATGAAGCTTTGCTAAAGCACTCCAATAGTAGTTAGAAAGTTGCCCTCTATCGTAATTGAGACATGGTTGAATCTTTGAGCAATTTTGTGGGTTTCGTAGGTTGCCCGCCCGCATTTCGGCTCCCATGATTGTGGTTTTTTCCAATGGGACTCATTTTTGCTAAAAGAATTTTACCAATATAGTCCCTGGCTATACAACCAAAAGCACAATTACCATTTTGTTTTAGAGATGCATCAAAATTTATTTTAATTTCATTTATTGGTGGTGGGTTCTATTTTATTCAGGTGAGTTGCATTGTGCACATGGTTCAGATGATGAGCATTCATCACATTTTGAGTCATTTGTACATTAGATACTTATGAATGCACCAAAGTTGTCAATGGGGTTGACATTTCTCAATCCATCAACATCATTTAATGAAGCTCTTATGACATTTGCAATTATAAATGGTATCTAGTTTGATTATTTGAAGAATAATAAAGAAAAAGTTGCAACAGTTTATACGAAAAGATGGGTTTGCATCCGCCCCCCCCACCACAGCTTTGCCCCCCAAAAACGTTCCATGGGTTGTGAGCATGCACTGCGTGTCCTCCCACATGCGGATTAGAGGGACTCGTGCGTGTTCTCCCACACATTCCACAGGACGGCCGTTAGCTCCCTCTCTCCCAAAAGGTCATCCTTTTCACTCCTCTCTCTCAAATTTCATCTCACTTCAACCCTCGACCTTCTGCTCTCAGAACTGAAACCCACCGGAGGTAAGTATCCCTACCGGAGGTAAGTTTTTTCTCATTTTCTACCTTGTTTTTTTTTTCTCATTTTTCGCCGGAGTGGGAGCCCCCTTCCAATTCCGCTGATCGACGCCGACAAGTCAGAACCGCTGCAACATCTACAACTCTATGCCTCTTCCATTGACCAACAACTCACTTCACAAGAGAAAAAATATTATGCTTTTGATGACAATTTAAGGTTCTAATGGAATCACCCATTTTCATTTAATAAAAAAAAAAATTGCTTCTAATTGTACAATATGATGTTTTCTTTTCTTGAGTAATCTTCATGGGTTTTTCCAAATCACTGAGCATGTACAATTTTGCTTCTCTTGTTCTCAAGTTGTCATGAAGGATTCTTGTTTCCTCTGCCTCTATGCTCTGTGCTTTGTCTCTTTGTCACCAGTCTAAAAATTTACTAGTCAATTGCTATCATCTCCTAGATTAGAGAACAAGGAAGAACTTAATTCCTTTCTTGTTGCAGACGAAGCACCAATTCCTCCAGAGCTTGAATCATCCAGACATGCGAGCATGATTTTTTGGCTTCATCTAGAGTCATCTGAACCGAACATTTCAACCCAAAATCAGTTCTTAATTCATTTTGTTTGTTTCAAGCATCAAAATATCAAACACATTCTGTTGTACATACCCATGTGGGTTGGAGCTTCCGTTGTTTTTTCTATTGCAAAAACAAAAAACAAGGTAGAAAATAAGAAAAAACAATTCTGAGAATGGAAGAACTGAGAACAAAGAGGGAAACTTACCTCTAGTAAATAAAGCTATTGAAACGATCATCGGCATCAACCGAGGGAACTCGAACAGGGGAAAGCTCTGGCGGATTTCAATTCGCACACTCCAGGTCGAGGGTTTAAGTGAGGCTGAGATTTGAGAGAGAGGAGTGAGAGTGTGAGAGATTACTTATTTTGGGTGAAGTGGGAGCTAAGGGGATGAGCTAACGGTCGTCCCATTAGCTCCACACGAGTTAGATGCATTTGCGTGTGGGAGGACATGCGGTGCGCTGTGAGTTCGTGGGATGTTTTTTGGGACAAATCTGTGGGGGGGCAGATGCAAACCCGGAAAAGATATGATTGGTACATATATAGCTCTTGGATGCAAGATAAGGAGACATTATAAATCAAATCATTCTCAAAAAAGTGTAAATGTGCAAAGGCTTTGAAGAATGATAAGCTAAGTGCAGCATGACTTACAAAAAAAGTACAAGAATAAATCCGAACTTGAAAGCACTTACATTATGTAGCAAAACCCTCAAAGAGTACATGAATTGATATTAGTAGGTCAATAACATATAGAGCCAAGAGGAAGGCAATCATTGGTATAGAGGGAATTCAAAGTGAGCAATATAAGAAGTTGGTTAATTATTTATTGTCATGTGTTGTTGAATTCAAATCTAGGGAGTATAGAAAAAGATTGGTTTCAAAGAATATTCATCAAGACAATTTTAAAGACTATTTGTGTGTTTCAATACAGTGAAGGTTGACTTTATGGAGGGTTGTCGCCCATTTATAGGGCTTGATGGCTGCCATTTAAAGCAATCTAACTTTGATCATATACTACCTATAGTTATACTAGATGGGAATAACTGTATATTCCTAATTGCTTTTGTTGTTGTTAGATGCCAAAGAATCTTGGACTTGATTTTTGTCTTTATTGTTTGAACTAATTGGAGGGAAAAGGAGCATGTTTGAAGTAATATATTTACCGCTTTAATTCCAATCTATATTTGATATTTGAATAAATATACTAAAAGTTATGCTAATTGTGTTTCAGGGCCTTATGGAGACATTCGAGAGAATGATTCCAAGTGCTAAACACCAATTTTGTGTGAAACACATGTATGAAAATTTCAAAGGAATTTTCAAGGGAAGAAACTTAAGAAATTGTTTATGGGGGAGCCATTGAACTTCAAAATGTGCCACTACAGTACTTAAACTCCCAAAAACTATCAATTTGGTCCCTACCATTAACAGTCTGTCCGTTATGTCGATCACGTGATGACATGTGATGGTTAGATTTTTTAAAATACCATAACTACCCTTTTAAGTATTTTTTTAAATGATTTTACCCTTCTTAAGACAAACTTAAATTTTAGGGGGGAAAACTAGGGTTTGTTGAATAAACAGTATTTTAAAGTTCGTTTAAGCTACAGTGAGTGGAAAATGTTGGAAGTGAAAGTTGGAACAAAGATTTCGAGTGTCTACAATTGCCATTTTATTTCAAGGTTTACCAATTCCAGTGCTCCATTATCATCAGTATGATCTCTTTCCTTACTGTGTCATTCTCTGTTTTTTTGTTTAAATGTTAGTTTATGCTTGTTACTTGATTTTTTGGTTATATAACCAAAGCGAATTCAGTCTTCATTAGTTTATGGTTCAAATGTAATGGTTTATAGAAAAAAAAGTTGCACGAAAACTCTTTGGTTACATTTCTCACTTGAAATGTAATGTTAGTTTAAGTTCCTCACTTAATCTTTTGTTTGAATATGAGTTTATGGTTCAAATATAATGACTTTGGTTGAAACTTAATGCAAGGATGTCTTCTCAATCTTACAGTGAGTCTTCATGTGTCAAATACTTGAGGTATAAAGCCAATGGTTGCAAGTGTGGGAAGAGATGCATGATTTAGGTGTCCGAGACATGTTATTAATCCAAATCGGATATTTTACAGCTGTACCAACAATCTTGTAAGCATTAAAATGATTTTATATATGTATGTGTATTGACTATCAATTGGCAATCATGCTTATATTCATTGCATTTGACTGTTTATGTAGGGGAGCATACATGCACCATGCAACTTTTTTCAGTGGACGGTTCCTACAGATGACTAATAAAATCAGTCTAGAAATGAATTTTGTATAAAACCATATTGGGGAGCTTCATAGGTTGATAGCTGATCTCCACTCTCGTTTGATGTCACTGGAATCTACCATAAAACTGGTTGTAAAGGGGATAAAGACAATGCATGTCTTAGGCATTGCATCTATCATTGGGTTCATTTGTCTTTACATGTATAGAAAGTAAGAAGTAGAATTGAGATGTATGTATTCAAATTGGGGTATGGGTTGTTTTGAATAAATGAAACACTATAAATTGATGTTTTGTTTCAAATGATTATGAACTTGAATATGATATACATAGATGTGCACTTATGTTTTGTCATGAAGTTCCACTTAGAATCTTTTTTTTTTTTTCAAAATTGTAAATCTGAATTGGATTGAAGGGGTTCCACTCAGTATGGAAAATTGGTATTTGACTTGTTTCAAAAATGTAAATATGACATCATGTAATGATGTTGAAATTATCAAGGTATTTCAATTTTATGAATTGTTTCAGAATTGCAAATCTGAAAAAAAAAAATATTTTTTTCAAGATTGTAAATATGAAATCAATTGATGATATTGAATCATTAAGTTATTGCAATTTTTGAATTGTTTTAGAATTGCAAATTTGAAAGAATGTTTGCTCCAACCTTAAGTCATTTGATTTTTTTTTCTTCAAAATTTTAAATCTGAAATCAATTAGTGATATTGAAATCATCAAGTTATTTCAACATCTAAATCACTTGATGATTTCAACATCAAAGTTTCTTTTACTTGTTTCAACATCTAAATCACTTTTAGCATCCAATTCAATTGAGCATTTTAACATCAAGTTATTTGACTTGCACATATGTGTTCTATCAATTAGAGCCATATAAAAAGATAATTCTAATTGCTTTAGATGACTGCAAATCAAATGTATCATTAATGACAATGGAATTGCCGATTTGGATGGATACATGTCGACCAAAATAAGAACTTTTTATTTGCTATCATAGAGTATTTAGCTTGTATCTCATAAAAAGAAAAAACATGTATTAACATCAGTGTATGGGTGACCAAAATCATTTTCCTGACTTCATATCAATTTTGTATCACCAATCCAACACTCAGAAAAAAATTCTCATAAAAAAAAAAACCTGAATTTACATTAATGTGTGGGTGACCAAAATCACCTTCCTAGGTTCAAATCAGTTTTGTGTCAACAGCCCAACACTCAAAAAGAAAAAAAAAACTATATCCTAGCAAAGAACTTGTTTGACTATATCCTGTACCCAACCCAACCTTAACTATACCTCTTCAAGAAAATAAAACCTTGTATCTACTTGTATCTCCAATTGTCCAAAAAAACTTGTAACATGTGTCTACACAACAAGCAATAAAGACCAACTCCTTCAAAATAACCTCTATCAAACTCCATCAGCTCCTACATGAACCAATAAGCATCAGATGTTAAAAAGTATGTTTGAAGTATTAATCAAATGAGCTTATAAGAACTGAAGTTCTATAAAGAATTAAATGGTAGAAATCTTCCTCAACTTGCTTGCTCTAATATTGCAATAATATTTTGCATATAACCATCACAAAATTATAAGAACTAAAGTTATAATAAAGGTATTAGGTGCCATAAAGCATGAAGTTGATATTTCCAATAGTGCTTAAGTTTCCATATTAGAATGGAGAAAGGTTTTAGGATCTATTAGAAATGCCAAAAACTATTACAAAGTTGTATCAGTCCCTAAGCCTGGTGACCCCCATACAATGCTGTTGTTTACCCCCTTCCTTGCAAGTCCATCAACAAAGTCATGGTTTTTCTAGGTATTTATATGAGCAGTTCAAGTTAGATGCCAGACTTCTAGCTTCATTCTTTTATGCCTCAACAGCCAAGGACCTTCTGCTTCATTCTCCACCCACCCGATTACACTAGTCCTATCTTAGACCCCAGCTCCCCACCATCAAAGAATATATGTATCATAGGTTTCTCTTGGGTGGATATTAAGGGGCCCCACCATATGGCTCTTGTTGTACATGGGCTACACCATTACATACTCTTATTCCTTAACTTTTTTGATGAACATGATTAATGTTTTATCTTCTCAAAACACACAGCCAGGCACATTTTTCTCCTTACTGATAAAAAAGTAGAAGCTACTGTGGTATCATGACAAATTAAGGGATGATGAGATGATCTTTAATTCTCCAAAGGCTCTGTTAAATTTTATTTTTCTCATTAATGTCTTGTTAAGCTAATTTTTATGAGTGCTTGCTTGGAAACCAACGATTTTGAAGTGAGGGAGTTTGTTTCCCATCCTTCAAAATGCAACTCTAATATGGAATCATATTTCCTAGTTTTTTTGAGCTTGGTCTATTATAGAATGGGATTTTGCCATGGAGACTGTTAGGTTGAATTTGGGAAAAATTACACAAAACATTCCTGTAAAGTTATTCCCTTGTTTGGCAAAATGGGTTCCGCTAGCTATTCCTGCAACAATTAAGATCTGCTATGGAGTTGGGCTTATCTCCTCTCTCTCTCTCTCACTCTCTCTATCGTGTCCTCTCTCCGTCACTCTCTATGTCATCTCCTCTCTTTGTCATTGCCTATGCCACCTGCTCTCTCTATCACTTCCATCTTCTTCATGAGTTAAAGGTCTTTTACCTAAAAAATTTTGGATTCTCATATGAATACTCTGCTACCCAAAAATTTTGAGAAGCACTTTCAACTTCTATGTTTAACCCACATTAGCTCAACATTAGTTCAACACAAGCACATCAAAACCCTTATCTTATGCATATCAAAATCCCAACCCTCTACAAAATATACCTAAGTTAAACACCAAACTGCTTAACTTGTACAAGAACTCCTTTAACTGGTAAATCACAGCTCCATAATAACAAAGGGATTATGGACCTCACCAGTTAAAGTAAGTCATTTAACTTGCATAGGAACTCTTTCAACCACTAAGTTAAGGCAGACTTCATTCGTGACTTTAATCATGCCTCACCAGTGAGTTAAATCAAAACATAACTTATAGTGAGTTAAAACATCACTTCAAATGAGTTATAACAGAACTTTTGTTGAGTTACATAAGAACATCCACTAAGTGAAATTAAAATTTATATCA